AGCACCAGCAGCCACCAGCAGCACCAGCAGCACCAGCAGCACCGCAGCACCAGCAGCACCAAGCAGCACCAGCAGCACAGCACCAGCACCAGCACCAGCACCAGCACCAGCACCAGCACCACCAGCAGCACCACCACAACCACGCACACACGCACGCACGCACGCACACGCGCACCACCACCCACTACGCACGCGCGCGCGGAGCCACAGGTCCGCTACGACACGCGTCCGCGGATAGAGAAAATCAGCGCCATGGTAAGGGATGGGAGGGAGGGGTAGGACGTCAGATATGACGCGAGCGTACCTAGCTTGCCTCCTCCCCTCCCTCTCCTCCACCTCCTCCTCCTCCGAAGGGCATGTGCTCCCCCTCCTCCTGGCCAGAATCCACTTCGAATCCTTGCTCCCTCCACAGGTTCGTGGTGGCCCGCCTGCCGTCCCGGCTGCTCGACGGCCCCCTGGTGACCCTGGCGACTCGATCCCCGAGGCCCGAGACGGGAGGAGGCCGCGGCTGTGATCCCCCTCGCGGGCCTCCGCGCTCGGTGCCTGCCTGCGTGTGGGGGAACGCCGGGGGCGGGCCGGCCCGTGGGGTGGAAGCGCCGACCCGGAAGCGGCGATGCGTCGCCGACTGGTCGGCGATAGGCCCCCCCGATGGCAAGCCCGCACGCGGCCTGGGCAGGGTGCGGGGATCGGGCCCCCGTCGGCGGTGGATGCGCGAGTGGGGGTCGGTGCGCCGCCCCCCCCCCCCCCTGAGCCTGTCTCCTCCGGAACTGCCCCCTGGCTTTAAAGGGTCGTGTAGCTCGGCTCTCCCGCGGCCGTTCGGGACGATCGGGGCGCCTCTGGAAAGTTCTCGGCGAGGCGCAGCCGCTGGAAGGCACCCAGAGGATGGAAAGCAGCCGAGAACCCGCGAAAGGCGTCCGAAAACCTCGAACCTCAAACCCAGACAACCTCTCGGAGGGGGAGGCGCAAGGATATATAAGCATGTGATGAAAGACTGTGCGGTTTGTGTGACTGGCGATGCGATGACACTACCCGATGTTTCTCCGAAAGGTAACGACCCCCCACGTACACCTGCAGCGTGGCCGATTTAAACGACGTCTGCTGCAGCTGCGGCTCCGTTCAACAGGAAACGTGGGACAGGCCTGGCATTAGCTAGGGCCGTCGAAGCTTCGGGCAAGCGGGAGGAGAGGCAAAGAGTGAGAAACCGACATCGTGCGGGGGGGAGTGGAGAGGGGAAGGGACACGTGACATAGAGAACAACAACCGCCCCGAGCTTCACTCACGGTAGCTCCCATGATTATGGCACTAACGCGAGGACAAGTGGCCATGTGGCCACGACGAGGGGGGCCCAAACATCCGCCAAGATGCTATCTTCAGGGCTAGTTTTTCGATCAACAATGATGGTTGATGCCCCCCTGGGCCCAACAACGGGCACCGAAATCGAAGAACAACCGCAGCGACGGAACAAATCAAATCCTCGGCGATGCATCCCCTCAACGTTACCGCCGAAGGGGGGATGCACTCCCGTGACCTTAGCTGGCCCGGTACGCAACACGCAACCCGTAGGCGTGGTGACACGGAGCTCAACACGTGGATTGAGAACGTGGGTCTTGTCGGATACGTTCGCCACAACGTGGCCGAACATACGCGCGTGAGACGTATCAAACATGGTACGTAATGAGTTTCAACACTTACGCACCGCGGGTTCATATCGTGTCGACCCAGGCGTTGGTTCCTGACACCGCGGGGATCGTTCAACCTTGAACGATCGGCCGTTTCCGAAACGTCAGATCTTTCAGCCTCGACCGATTCTGGGTCGCTGGCGGCGTTCAACTTTGAACACTGGCGGCGGGGTCGCCGCCGGTCGAGATGACGCGGACCTACTGTATCATGGCAGCTGACCGCCTGACGTTGCCCCTGAACTGCGCTCGGATCCCCCTGCCTTGGAGGGGGGCGGGGTCGGGTAGGCGCTTTAGCCGGCAAGGCGGCCAGCCTCATTCTTCCAGACATTCCGCCCCAACCTTCCGCACCTCTTTTCGATATAATATATGTGGGCTTCTTTGAATTACGTATGGCTTCCATGAATTTCGGAGATTTCTTCCGCACCTTCCGCGGAGGTCGGAAGGGATGGAAGGTGGAGGCAGAAGGAACGCTGATACGACGGGTGCCAGGCGGGGCCTGCTGGGCTGTTTGGGTCAGAAGCCGGATTGGCTCCGGGTTAGCCAATGGGCTGAAAGGGGCGCTTAGCCAGTGTCGGGGAGACGTGAGACTCGGGTTCTGGGGACTCGGGTTGGCCTGACGGGGCCACCATAAACATCACGAAGCCCAATCTGAAACTTGATGCGAGCTCCCGCTGCAACCACCCCGCGAAAACGGTACCGTCAAAATCCGGAGCGCGCTCGTCAAAAAGCGTCGGCAGACCCGAGTTCCGGCGCACTCGAGCCTTACTGGAGAAACCAAGAAGTACACCGACGCCACTGCCCCCCTTAGACCGAGGAGGAGGAGGAGGAGGAGGAGGAGGAGGAGGAGGAGGAGGAGGAGGAGGAGGAGAGGAGGAGGGTAGGAGGAGGAGGAGGAGAGGAGGAGGGAGGAGGAGGAGGAGGAGGAGGAGGACGAGGAGGAGGAGGAGGACGAGGATGAGGAGGAGGAGGAGGCCTCTCCTGGGGCGCTGTCTGACCAGGACTCCGAGGCGGCGGCGAGGGCCGCCCACGAGGCCCGAAGAGGGGAAAACTGGGGAAGGTTCGAGGCGTGGGCACGGCCAGCCCGTGCAGCAAGGATGCGCGATAAGGACGCAGGGGCCTCGGATCCCCTTCTCGCTCGGCCCGACAGGTGCGCGCTTCGAGCGCCCTCCCCCTCCTCCTCCTCCTCCTCCTCCTCCTCCCTCCTCCTCCTCTTCCTCCTCTCCTCCTTCTCCTCGTCCTCCTTCTCCTCGTCCTCGTCCTCCTCCTCCTCCTCCTCCTCCTCCTCCTCCTCCTCCTCCTCCTCCTCCTCCTCCTCCTCCCCAAGGGGCGCGTCCTCGGCCAGGGGGGCTCATGGCGGGTGGATATGGGTGCGCTAGTGCCCGTGGAACGGTCCTCGGTGTTCCCGACGGCCGCCGGCGCTTGCCTCTACCACGACGCGATCCTCATGGCCAAGGGCGGCCGCCCATGTCGAAGCCTTTCGAGCGGGGCGCGGCCCGCGAAAGCGGCCAGGGATGGGCCGAGGAGGCAGGGATGCAAGGGGTATCCTTGGGAAGGTTGCCCATCCTTGCTAACTGCGGGTAGACTGTACCTTTTTCTCCTCTGACTTACGCTTCCCCGACAGGGGGGCCAAGGCTTAAGTCGGGCCTGTCCCCCTACAGGGGGACTTTCGAGGAAAGATTAAACATAGCAGAACAATATTCAAATATGGCCAGACAATGATCAAGACATCGCCCCCATACTATTTGTTTTGACTACTTTTGGATATCCCTCCTGTAGAGGGACAGGCCCTGGAGAAGGTTGCCCATCCACACTGTGCTGGTTGACCGTACCTCTTCCTCCTCTGACTTACTTCCCCGACAGGAGGCCAAGGCTTAAGTCGGGCCTGTCCCTCTACAGGAGGAATATGCAAAAATAGTCAAAACATAGTCAGGGGACGATGCTTTGAATGTTTCTTGTTTCGACATACTTTCCGACTGAAGCCATGTTATGTCGAAGAAGAACTTGACTGTTCTTTGTGTTTGTGTGTGAGACTATTTGAACTTTTTTGATTATTTCTAAAATATAGAATATTGTTGGACTGTTTTGAGCTTTCGCCTCACAGATTTCTACTTAAGCCAAGGCGGGGGGCTGCATTCGGTGCCCGCGCGCTCGCGGCGGCGCGCAGCCCCGCGGCGCCCCGTGGCGGCGCGCCCGCGGCGCCCAGCAGGGCGGCGAGGCCGCCGAGGCAGCCGCCGGCGCCTCGCGGGGCGGGCGGGCGGGGCCTCCTGCGCCCGGCAGCCCTCCGAGGCTCGGCTCAAGTCGGGCCTGTCCCTCTGCCTGGCCAGCGCTCGGACGTCCATTCCTCGTGCTTTTTTCGGCTTCGTGCGTGGTTTTTTTCGCAGGATGATCCAGGATGCTTCTGAAGGATCCCCGCCGAGGAAAAGTGCACGCGTCCGAGCGACACCAAGCTACAGGAGGAGAAGAGCAGGGCGTCAAACTTTTCGACCGCCGTTGGCAGCAGCAGCAGCAGCAGCAGCAGCAGGAAGAGGAGGAGGAGGAGGAGGAGGAGGAGGAGGAGAGGATGAGGAGGAGAGGAGGAGGGGGAGGAGGAGGAGGAGGAGGAGGAAGGAGGAGAGGAGGAGGAGGAGGAGGAGGGGGAGGAGGAGGGGGAGGAGGAGGAGGAGG